AAGATCAAAGTCACAAGAGTCAAAGTGGACTCTGAAATACCCAGAAAACGATTTGTCAAGAATGTATGCACTCTTGTTTGACAGAGACCTAATGCAACCAGATGCTCCTGCCTGGCCCCCAAGCCCCTGCCTGAAACACGGCACTGCCACTTACTGTCTTTCCGTGAAAACAGTTGTCCTCAGAAATAAAGCAAAAGCAAAACAACCCTCCTTGAAATCATCCCATGTACAACGAAGGCAGGAGCAAGATGGTTTTCATCTGCTCGTGACATTGATTCAACCAATTCAGCATTTTTCGGAGACCTGATGTTCCCCTCTTTTTCTAATTCCATCAGGCCAACATTGTTAGAAAACATCTTCTGCGAAATAATATTCCGTTTTCAACACGATTTCTCGTAAGAAAAGGAAACGTAAACATGTCACCAGGACACTGGAGAACCACAATGTGTCTTCCTAATACAATAATAGCCATAGGTTTATGAAGCATTCGGTGAAACAGCCAAAGGAGAAATTAGATCATTTGGCTCTGGTCGCCGAGTGTAATAGATCTCCCTCGGTTAAGATAGCTGGGAACAGGCTGGAATGATTAATGGGAAAGCTTGATGGTGTAAAAATGCTTAATGTAAGAGCACAATATGGCATGCAAACCAGACTAAAACAACCCATAAATATTTTAGGCACCTTATAAAGATTTAAGAATATTTATTCCACGTATAAATCCATCGCGTAGTATCAGCAAAAGCCCAGCATCCAGAGCCCTGGCAGCTTGAACTACCACGCTGCAGACGGGCCCGTGTGCCTTCTTTCTGTCTGCATTTCCCCCAGATGATTGAACCAAATTCAGTGGCTTAACTGCTTCCCAAATGAGACGCAACTCCCAAGCGCCACTCCTTTTACAGCTTTGTCAGCACTTACAGCTCAAAGAATCTGATCTCCAGAGCTTTCTAACAAGGGAGGAGTTGGAGCCAGAGACTCCCCTTAGAAGTTTTATCTCACACCTTGAGTCTCCTACCCCAGTGCTAACCAAAGTGTGTGCTTTGTGTCAGCCACGGCAGCGTGGCGTGGATGCTCATTTGAAACGCAGTATCTCCCCAGGGTGATCTGCATGCACACTCAAGTTTGGAAAACCATGGAGGACACTCATGTCACTCTCACCTCTCCCATGCCTGCCTCTAACCCCAAACTCCAGATGGTTTCCCTGAGTGGAGGTAAAAGTACAAGGAGTGAGACAGCAGCTTTGCCTCTGAAGAGCTGTGTGATCTTTCTCAGGGCCTTACTCTCTCTGGGCCTGTTTTCTCATTTAAAAATAGTAGAAATAATAGTAGCAACTTCAAGGGCATGGAGAAAGGATGAAATGAGGTCATGTGGGGCCGGTGCTGTGGCGCAGCAGGTTAAAGTCCCGGCCTGCAGCACCGGCATTGCATCTGGGCACCAGTTTGAGTCCCAGCTGCTCCACTTCCCATCCAGCTCCCTGCTAATGGCCTGGGAAAGCAGTTGAAGATGGCCCAAGTTCTTGAGCCCCTGCACCTGTGTGGGAGACCCAGAAGAAGCTCCTGGCTCCTGGCTTTGGATCAGCTCAGCTCTGGCCGTTGTAGCCATTTGGGGAGTGAACAAATTTACGGATTGAAGACCTCTCTGTGTCTCTGTCTCTACCTCTCTCTGTAACTGTTTCAAATAAATAAAATAAAGCCTTTTAAGAAATAAATTAATTAAAAAAGAAGAAATAAGGTCATGTATCCAGCAGCTCATGTGAGAAGCCCAGTACAAAGTAAGGGCTCACCCAAGGGCACAAACTTGGGGCAATAAAAAGACGCAAATGAGACCAACATCACTTGCACAAAATGGCTACGGAGATCTTTTCTCAATGTCTTTATCTATTCCCTGGAGTGAATCTATAACATCCCAACTGGAAGCTGGGATAAGAGAGGAATATTGGCAATAGGAGGGAAATTTTGGATTAGTTATCTTTTTCTGAATGTCAAATTACCCTCAAATTTAGCAGCTGAAAACAAACATCGATTGCCTTGCAGATTTCTTTCTTTCTTTCTTTCTTTCTTTCTTTCTTTCTTTCTTTCTTTCTTTCTTTCTTTCTTTTTTTTTTTTTTTAAGAGTTACACCGAGAGAGGAGAGAGGTCTTCTGTTACTTCACTCCCCAAATAGCCACAATGGCTGTAGCTGGGCCCATCTGAAGCCAGGAGCTTCTTCCAGGTCTCCCACGTGGGTGCAGGAGCCCAAGCACTTGGACCCTCCTCTGTAGCTTTCCCAGGCACATGAGCAGGGAGCTGGATTGGCAGTGGAGCTGCCGAGTCTCAAACCAGTGTCCACATGGGATTCCACCAACACTGCAGGCAGAGGATTAACCTACTACACCACATGTTGTAGTTTCTGTTCTTCAGAAATCTGAGACCATGCTAGCTGGTGGTTCTGGCTCAGGGACTCACAAATGAAGTTTCTTTCAAGGTGACGGCCTGGGCTGTGGCTGGACTAGGGCAGGAGGCGTCTTCCTGGGATAGTTCACTCACATGGTTCCGGATACCAGCAGGAGGCCTGCGTTCCTCCTTTCGTGGGCCTCCACACGGGCTGCTTGTGTGTTGCCACAACCTGGTGGCCAGCTTCCCTCGCAGTAAGTGATCCCAGACAGAGTGGACAAGGAGGAGGCCAAAATGCCTTATTTGGCATAGTCTCAGACACCACCCTCCAGCACCTCTTGTGACAGCCTCCCTGAGAAGTGTCCATGGCCTTGGCTTTAGCAGGTGGTTGATGGTAACTCTGGCCTTTCATTAGTCTTCTTCAGATCCCTAGGTCCCACAAAAATTAAAAATAGGAACCAGTGTGGTGGCACAGTGGGCTAAGCCACCACCTACAATGCCATCATCCCACATGGAAGTGCCATCCGGAGTCCTGTTTACATCGCTTCTGATTCGGCTGCCTGCTGATGCACCTGAGAAGACGGCAGGTTAAAACCAAGTTCTGGGGCCCCTGCTGCCCATGGCTCCTGTCTTCAGCCTGGCCCAGCCCAGCCCAGCCCAGACTGTTGTGGTTTCTCTCTCTCTCTCTCTAATACTTAAATAAATATGTCATTTTTAGATAAAAATAATATCCAAGTATAAACTGTTGCAAATCCTATTTCACTCCTCTTTCAACCAAGTTGTTGCCCCCAAATCCTGGCTAGTGTACCTGTCACAATTCATAGAACCATCCCCAGGATATTGCTAATTTGGGGGAGGGGGGGTCAAGAAAGCCTTCCCACCTTCAATCCAGTTCAAATCCTACTGATCCTTCTCAGGGTGGAAAGCCCTAGATCTGATGGGAACCCTGCAATATCCCCAGAACCCCCTCTGGTTTCTTTTTTATATATAATATTCTCCACATGCTTGGGAAATCATGTTTGTCTGTGTGTCCCTTAATCAGCCACTAAAATTCCAAGGTGGCAGAGACCTTGTCCAATCAAGTTCAGTTTGTATGTACTGGAGCCCAACGTGAGGTCTTCAGTGAGATCCAGTTGGTGAGTTCTATTTTATCCATCTAATCAGTAAATGTTGAGGGCCTACTGTGTGCTAGACAAAGTTCCAGACACAGTGGATACAACCATGAAGAAAATCAACCAAGTCTTTCCTCTAACAGAGCTATAATTCTTTTTTTAAAAAAAACGTGTATTTATCTGTTTTCATTTATTTGAAAGCCAGAGTGACGGCAAGAGAGAGATCTTCCACTTGCTAGTTCACTCCCTAAATACCTGCAATAGCCAGGGATGGGCCAAGCCAAAACCAGGGGCCCAGAAGTCCATCGAGGTCTCCTGTGTGGGCAAAAAGGCCCAAGCACTTGAGTCATCACGTGCCGCCTCCCACACACATTAGCAGGAACCTGGTTTGTAAACAGAGAAGCCAAAACTTGAACCTACACTTGGGTGAAGGATGCTGGTACCCCAGGCAGCAACTTAACTCTGTGCACTACAATGCTTACCCCAGTGTTTTAATTCTAAGTAGACAGATAAAAACTCATAACCAAACAAAAATTCAACATGTCAGGATACAACAAAATGCTTAGAAGCAAGGACATAAAGGACAGAGCCGGGATTGGCATTGTGACACAGCAGGTTAAGCTGCCACCTGTAGCTTCATCCTATATGGGCACTGGTTCAAGTCCTAGTTGCTCCACTTGAGCTCCAGCACCCTGCTAATGCTCCTGGGAAAGCAGTAGAAGATGGCCCAAGTGCTTGGGCTCCTAAACCCTTGTGGGAAGACCCAGATGAAGCTCCTGGCTCCTGGGAGGAGAAATGGCCCACAGACCATCAATAACAATGCCCCCAGTGTCCTGGCACCCACAGATGTCATGGCATACCAAGACAAATGTGGGCCCCATGAGGCTAAGCACCTTGCATAGCAACAAGCTACTTCTAAGTGGCAGAGCTGGGATTTGAACCCAGACAGTCTCACTCAAAGGCCATTATTACCAAATGTCTTCCCTGTGTGAGCATTTGAGCTTCTGACCTCTGATCTGATAAAGCAAGAACAACCAGGAAAACACAAAGACCTCCTCATGATGATAAAGGTCAATTGGATGATTCTAAGAATGGTTGCAGAAGCAACAATAGGCTTCAGTGAGCTAAGAATTCTTTTAGCCCAAAGAAGTGATCTGTATTCTTCCCACTTCTAAACTCCTAAAAGACAAAAAGGATTATTTTTTTTCTCCAGCCTCCTACACGTTATTGTGTCTTATTTATCACATTGTCTCAACAAAACTCAGACCCGTTCCTGCTAAATTGTCCTCCTCTTCTATTTTGGTTGCATCCTCTCAGGATGTCCTTCTGCTAATTAGAAGAGCAGCTTTGTCAGCATACAGACTCCCCAGAGGTGGCAAGCACCTGGCCACTGTGTTGTCTCCCTCCCCTCCTGTGTCTATAGCAGACATCTCTAATAGATTACCGGTGCCCTCTGCCTGTCTTTGTGACATAGGGCACCCAGAGTCTCAGGCATCACCAGTAGATCAAAGTAACCCACCTGCCAACTCTGCAGTTGATGTCTTTCCCATGGCCTTGGCTATGTAAACCAAGGTAGCTCACTCAGGGACACTCTGAAATGCCCAGCAGGGCTCTTAGCTGGGTGACCACGGTGGATCCTGGTGCAGAGGTCGATGGGTTCTCTTCAACAGGTCCTGGAAGATGGACAGTTGAGAAGCATGGCCAGCACTTCAGAGGCTTCTACCCCCATAACAAGCTAGAAGAGAGAGGAAAATGGCCAGATTGAGGTAATAGCAATGGGGATGGAGAACATTTTGCCATGTTTCTTCCAAGCTATAGGTCATGAAATCAATTTGCTGGGTCACGACCACCATTTCTTAAAAATGAAGTAATAAAATAGAATAGAATAAGTAAGTATTCCTCGGTGAAACTCATTTCAGCTCTCTGTATTTCATGCGTGGACCGGGTTGCAATGTAAAATATACATCTCTCTCTGGGCTTCCCAGTTGGCTGAATAATGGTCATCCCTCCCCAAAAATGTCCATGCCCTCATCCCTTGAACCTATGAACATGGTACATCCCATGGTTAAAGGATTTTGTGGGCAGAGTTAAGTTTCCCAATCAACTAATCTTACAATTAAGGAGGTTTTCCTGGATTACAGGCCTGGAGATTTCAGAGTTGTAGGAAAGCCAGTTAGACCCACAGCACTTAGGGTTGGTAGAACAAGGGTGGTGCCAGGCCTGGAACCTGTGGCAACCTGTTTCAGCTGCAGCAGAAAACCAAAGGAAGTCAAAAGAGCTGGGGAATTTCCAGTGCAGGCATTTAGAGCTGTGATCTTGTGGCTGGGTTCCACCACCAGTTCTTGCTTGTATCTTTTAAAAAAATGATAAAGGTTTATTCTATTTATTTGAAAAGCAGAGTGACACACAGAGAGAGGGAGAGACAGAGAGAGCAAGAGAGAACTACCATCTGTTGATTCACTCCCCAAAAGGCCCCAACAGCTGGGGATGGGCCAGGCCAAAGTGAGGAGCCTTGGAACTCCATCAGGGTCTCCCATGGTAGGTGGAGGGGTCCAAGCACTTGGGCCATCTTCCACTGCTTTTCCGGGTACATTAGCAGAGAGCTGGGTTGGAAGTGAAGCTTCTGAAATTTGAACCAACACTCCGATATTGGAAGCTGGTGTCAAAAGTAGTAGTTTAACCTGCTGCACCACAATGCTGGCCGGCCCTTCTTCCTTGTATTCAGTGGCTTGTGACCTCAGGCAAATTATCCAACACTTCCTCAGCTGTGAGACTAAGGACTACCAGAGCTAACTCACTAGGTTAATGAGGGACCAAAATTAACAGCAAAGTCTCAGAGTAATACTTGCTATTATTATGACCTTAATTTAGTAGAAAGGCAAACTTCCGTTTTCTATCTGAAAAATTGAAATTATATCACATCCCTCGTTTTGTTGAGAGCCAGGGCTGATGGAGTATTATAAAGTAAGGCCCACAAAACTCTCCACCTCCATTTTTTAGCAGACACCTGGATGCTAAGAGCAAACAGGGTGCGGCCCAGTCTCCTAGGTAGCTTGATGCCGCTAGGTGATGGAGTGCTGGCCAATCGTGCATGAACACAGCGTTGTGAACAACTTCGGGAAACTCTGCTTAAAAGGCTTCTGCCTGCTGCTTTGCTGCTGACAGGCTTGTAGACATGATGGCAAGAGTTCAAGCAGCCACTTTGGACTATGAAGTAGAGAATTACAGAACAAGAGGATGGGAAGAAACTGAGTCCCTGGAGATTTCACGGGCTGGAGGAAGGGGCATACCAGCAGTCTGGACGGCCCACCTGAGGGTTTTGCTTACACAGAAACAAAATAAACTACAATTTCGATAAAATCATTGCTATGTGTGTGTGTGTGTGGGGGTGGTGGTCATTCTTCACTGCAGTTGAACCTGAAGTTAAGCAATGAATGTCACTAAGGAGGCCCAGAATCCCAGGCTGCGTTTTGGAGAAAAGGAGGTTCCAAGCAAAGAGATGAGTGAGCAGGGACTGGGGGGAGATGAGGAACTTAGGGGAGTGCTCCACACTGTGCCCTGCATGGATCAGAGTTCAGGTTCATGGTGGCATTGGGAATGAAAGTCACACGTGTCATCTCTGGATCTCCTGTGCGCTCCCCATGAGGGACAGATCCAACCTCCATCCTTGCTGATGGAAATAACAGTAAACCCTTTCCGGAAGACACCACATAAACCACAAAGAAGGATGCTATGTGACACCTGGGTTGCAGAGAATGGAGTTTACAATCTCATAATCTGCTGCTTAGAGCATCAAACAATCCACTAACAAAGAGGTGTATGATGTTAAAGATGCTTCAAGACTTTAGGAACTGCCACACACAAATGCAAAGAGCTGTCAAAAGGATTCCAGATATTTCTAATGTATATAGACTCATTTGGATGTCTAATTAAAGTAGGGGAAATCTTCACATATAAATACCTTGAACAATAAGGCTTTTTTTTTTTTTTTCAAATAGCTCAATCTATCCTATGGATCAGTCATCAGTTTAAAAAAAAAAAAAAGAAAACCCTGGCATCTTTGTGGAGATTCATAAAGCAAATTAATTTGTAGTCCACAGGGAAGTCGCTTTTCAGGCACCCCAAATGTGTTATGTCAACAGAATCAATAAAGATGAACGATTTTAAGATGAGCATCCCCATGTAATCCGTTAGAGTGCACAGTCCATTTGCATTTTCTAAAGATGTGAACAATGAAGTCAGAGTGAACAGCAACCCCAAGCAATCCCAACCCTCCAGAGAAGCCCACGTGCACAGGTGGCATGAGAAAGCTCTCTCTCGAGTTATTCAGAGCAGATCTCTGGCTTAACCAGTTCAGCTCACCTGTGACTCCAAGGTTCCCAAGCCCACAGACTGTTGGAGGGTATGAAATGAACTTGGCTCCCCAACAGAAAAGATGAGCCAATTGTAATTCAAAAGGAAGCTTCAAAAAAAATCACTGTATGACCTTGAAGGAAAAGAAGGGCATTTATTATGTGTGGCACAATTTATGTTCATTATCTCACTTAGTCCTCCTAATATCCCAAGGAGACACACAATGTCCCCCTGCCTTGCAGTTCAGGAGTGGATGCAAAGCATGAAGCAACTTCTTCAAGGTCGCAGGGAGACACCACCAGGGCTTAGGTAGAAACCACTGTCTGTTTGACTCCAATGCCTACAGCAGAGCTCCCCAGTAAAATCTAGCACAACATGGTGGTCCATGTGGGTAACTTAAAATTTTTAGTAGCCACATTTAAAAAGGGAGGGGGGGGAGCAGGTGAAATTGATGCTACTACTCTATTTGATTTTGAACTAATAGATTGAAGATATTTTCTTTTCAACTTCTATCAGTATAAACATTGGGATATTACATGTTCTTCAAAAGCTGGTACGTATGTTATACTTAAAGCATATCACATGGCTAAGTGGCCACTGTATTGGACAGCGTGGAACTAGAATAAAATCAAAACTGCTTCCTATTTACCTTTCTTTTCTTAAATAAACATAAAGTCCCAGGACTTCATCTATTTATAAAATTTAAAATACATTATGAAGCCCTAGAGGTTACCCGAAATTGATGCAGTCATGTAGCAGTTTGTGTAGGCTAAGTTGTGCTGCAGTAACAAGCAACTCCAGGGGCCGGCATGGTGCATAGCCGGCAAAGCTGCAGCCTGCAGAGCCAGCATCCCATATGGGCACCAGTTCAAGTCCCAGCTGCTCCACTTCCCATTCAGCTCTCTGCTATGGCCTGGGAAAACAGCAGCAGATGGCCAAGGCCCCTATATCCATGTGAGGAACCCAGAAGAAGCTCCTGGCTCCTGGCTCCTGGCTTCGGATCAGCACAGCTCTGGACATTGCAGCCATCTAGGGAGTGACCCAGAGGATGGAAGACCTCTCTCTCTCTCTCTCTCTCTGCCTCTCCCCTATCTGTGTAACTCTGACTTTCAAATAAATAAAATAAATCTTAAAAAAAAAGTAACTCCAAATCTCAGTGGCTTGCAACAAAAAACTTTACATCACCCTCATACAACATGCCCAGTATGAGTTGGATGCCAGTCCACTGCTTTCTCTTTTTTCTCTGAAGCCTAGGCAGATAGAATAGGTAGTATGGACAGAAGAAAGAAGAAAGGTAATAGAGAGACATATCCCACCTCTTAAATATTCTGCTAAGAGACAGCACATTTGACCAATGAAACAGCCAAAGTGAGTCACATGGCTAAACCTGATGGCTCCAGGGAGGCTGCTAAAGAGGACGGACAGGGAACTTCAAAAAGTTCATGGAAACATAGTCACAAGATTGGTGTCTTTTGGTGCAAGTTTTTTATAATATGCATTTTTCTTGAATTTTTTGAAGATCCCTCATATGATACTCCTTTAGAGAGGGACAGCAGATTCTTTGAATGATAGCCCAATTTACAACCTCAAGAAAGGACTTAAGAAAACAATATTAATTTTTATCAATTACCATTGCAAAAAGATTAACATCTGTTAACACCAGAGAAACCAACAGGACAGACCTGCATGATTCTTATTTTCTCATCTCACCAGAAATTAGTGAGATCTCCCTCTCAGAGGACATGGCCAGGGTTTGGGAATCGCTGATGTACAGTGACCACCTGCTGTGCTTTGGCTTCATTGCATAAACCGGCCAACCTCCTTCCATTCCCAGTTTTCCAAGTCATTTACAACCCATAAAATCTGTTATATAGCAAAGAATAGTGGTTACTTCTGTTAGGTAGGAAGTAAGAAATTGAGCCTATGTGTGTATGAGAAGGGCCTAAGAAATTGACATCTACCGGGGTCCAGCATCCGCATCTCAAAGTCACCCCAACTTCCAGGTGCAGCCTAGTATCTGCACTTCAAATACCTCCCAGATCCTGATGACCCTCCAGGGGGTCCTGCCCCTTCTACCTGGCCTGATAAGCATCCTTTCTCTAGGAGGGCAACCCCAGCCAGGCTTCCCCTGTCTGAGAAATTCAGGGGGAAAAACTCAGAAAGGAATTTTTCATATTTACACCCAACAAGTCCTTTGTTCGGAGGAGAATGAGGAGAGGGGGAGAGAAAAGGCAGGAAGGCAAGACCCACCGCTTAAAAAAACCCAGCCTAATGTGAACTAGGCACTCTCTCTCTCAGGTTCTGTCTGGAGAGCTGCCCATCCGTTTTTATGATGTCCCTACCCTAATACACCTTGCTATTTTGCTTTCCACTGCTCTCTGT